GCTGCTCACAGTGTAACCTGGACGGAGAGACTTGGGGGTGGTAGGGAAGGGGTCCTGGACCACCCTCCCCTGGGGCTGGGGAGAGCGGGGACCCAGGCACCCTGCACCCACCCCAACCTCTGTTCGCTGGGCGCAGGCCAGGGACACATGCAGGCACGCCCGGCAGCGCTCCCCAGCTGCGCAAGGAGACTCGCAGGGAGCAAAAGGCTGCCAACGAGGAACAAAGTCTCCTCCATCTCAGGGGCAGGGAAGGTTTCATGGAGAGAAATGACTGCCACACAGCCCAGGAAGAGCACAGGGGCTGGGGAGCAGCGGAGCAGTCGTCTCTGGCATTGCTGCACAGAAAGACCCTTTCCACACTGACCGCCATAAGGACCTGAACCCCGAACGCTCCCACAGCCAGCACACCTCCGCAGAGCCACGCTGGTCTATGCCCCGCTCCTGGCCGCAGCGGGATCCCTACCTGTGAGGTACATCTCCTCTCCTTCCGTGAACATCTGGTGGCAGCGGACACATCTGGCACAGGTGGGGTGGTAGTGCTTCCCTCCTGCCTGCAAGGACGAGCAGAGAAGAGGACCCCCTGAGCAAGGACATGGTGACCCGCTCATGTCCCAGGCGTCACTCACTGCTGTATGTAGACAACGACATGGTGAATGGGGCAAAACTGCCCAGGGTGGCCTCGGAGACCACCACAACACACAGAGAAAACCAGAGACCACTTCATCACTAACGCTTCTGACCTGCTGGACTACAAGTCAGACTGGGAACCTTCTGCTCTCCTTGAACTGTCCAACACAAAGGAAAGCGAAGCCAGGAGGTCCCAAACCCCCAAGGAAGGCACCCCTACAGTCCTCACCCCTAATAAATTGTCCTTGCACTCTGGAAATAACAGAGACCCTCCGCAGTAACACTCAGCCAAGCAGCTGAGTGGTTTGCACCACAGCTCCTTCCCTTTACAGCTTTGAAGAGAAACAGCAAATTTGGCCCAGGATGTCACAGCAGGGAAGCAGTAAAGGGAGAAGGGCCCCAAAGAAAAATCTCGCAATGCCCGGGCTTCCTCTTGCTGTCAGACCCTCCCTGGCTACCATCGCCAGCCTCTCTCCCTCAAGAAACTTTTCTCCTTCTGTGAAGCCATGCCCAAACTTCAGTACTAGCGACACGCTGTTCCCTGGTTGAGCAGGAGCTGGGCTGCTCCCTTTGCTCTTTGACAGGGATAACAGCTTTAATTGGTAGCTTGTTTCCACTCAGAGCATCTGCTAGCATTTCAATTATAGGCTCATTTTCTGGTCTGGGAGCTGGGAGGAAGGAGCTGGCTCAGGGCAGGAGGAATCTGGGCTGTGCTGTTAGAGCTTGACCCCAAAGGACATGTTACTCCCATAATAATCCAAGAGAAGAGGAAGGACAATTTAAGACGGCAGAAGGAAAACTGTCAGACTCTGTCTGACAAAGGGGAGGGTTATGATAGAGGGGGCTGGAGCCAGTGTGAAACAGGGAGGGTCAACAGGAAAATCGGCTGTGAGGATAACTGAGAATCTGCCAGTTGATTGCTCATAAAAATCAACCTGGAACTCAATGTCCTTGGGGTGCAGATGGCAGCCAGTGGCTTTTTCCCTCTAGCTTATGCCAAAAATGAGTGGAAGGTTTTAGGGCAGGCAGGGGAGATGACTGGGAGAGTTTGGACCCCTTTTCCTTTCACTACAGTGCACCTCAATCCAGGGAGGGGACAGCCCTGCGCCCCAGGCACCTCCCTGTGCCAGCTGGCAGCAGCACAACATACTCCTGGGCTGGCCCAAGTGAGCCCATCACCCAAATATCCCCAATTCACACCCAAAAGCTTGGTAACACAGGAAAGCCAACTGGTGGGAGGGCTGCAGAGACAGACCCACCTTGAACACCAACGAGCGGCAAGGAAGGCGCCAGCCCTGGTCTCCCAGGCTCCTCGGTGGGATGGGAGAGGTCCCCAAGCAGCCACCCTGGTCCAGCCGCCGCGCCCCACAGCAGGGGCTTGCACTGAACGCTTCGCCAGCCTGAGCAAACACACCAGCCAGTTCCAGGCTATACAGATCCTAGACCAATTTTACCCCTAAAAGCCTTGTCTGGAGGCCCTGATGTCGTTGACATCGTGCCAATAGGCTCATCATGTCTCCTGACCACCGCCGCAGGGAGGTGGCCCACCGCCCCGCCAAGGCGGAGGATGGCTAGGGATGGCCAGTTCCTCCTCCTCCTCTGCCCAAGCCCCCATGCGCAAAGCCCTGCCTGGCCAGCTGCCCGCCGCAGCACCCTGCCAGCACCCCCTGCAGCAGGCACCCACCAGCCAGCACTGCGCACCCAGGACAGGCACGCTGAGCTGCGACAGTCGGAGGAGACAGCTGTAAACACATGGGAGAGAGATGAAAAACAACTCGGCTAAAGCCCAGCTCCTAAACACTTTGGGCTGGTGTGCCTCCAGTTCCCCTTGCCTGTATTTCCAGCTGACTAGAGACAGCTAACGCTGGGGACACGGGGCCCTGATGACTGATATGCCGCCTCCCCTGGTCCTCTGAATCTGGGATGGGTTTGATGCTCTTGGCTCCTCTTAGTACCCCCAGTGGCTTGGTGTGCTGACAGTAGTAAAAAAAAAAGAAAATCAAATCTTAATCTATCTAAACTATATGGGCTGCTGTCACAGGTCTCTCATTTCAACACAGACCTTCTCCAAAACCACTCACCACTCCCCCCTGAGGAGTAACTCTCCAAACTGTGCGCAAACCTTCCTCCTTTTATACTGGTTAACATTATGGCTCGTAGAAGGCTGGTAAAAGGCTTTTTATGAGGGAAAAAAAAAGGGAATGAACCTGCTCGTTATCACCTGGGGTCCTATAAAGACTCATTAATCATCCAAGCCTGGCTGCGCAGCTCGGAGCAGCTGGGAAAGCCCGGAGGCTGACGGGATAGCATGAGAAAGCTCCTTAAGGCCTAAAATTATTTAAAGGCACCCTTTCCATTTCACACTCCGCTGGAGACGACAATTAAAGCCTCTGGTTTTACAGAAGTTTGTTCAATACCCCGAGCAGGCATGTACCCAGGGAGGGTGGGGAGCACAGACTCAGTCTTGGCCGTGGGGAGGCAAGGGGTGCCCACAGCACCCATAGGCTTCGGGGTGCTTGCCTAGCACAGCCCCCAGCACCCAAACCCAGTGCTCCTCTTGGCTCTGTGATGGCCCCTGTGAGGAGGTGGCACCTCAGCTCTGCCCGCGGGCACCCCGGCACGGAGGCATGTTACTTCTAGCCCGCTGGAGTCACGTCGCGTAAGGAGGGCTCCCGTGCCCGGGCACGGCAGGCAAGGTGCTAATGCAAGACGATGAGTGTTCGGAGCACCTCGTGGGATTCAGCCAGGCCCTTCCCATGGCCCGGCAGAGCTGGACAGCCACTCCAGCCTGGGAGAGCCGGTGCTGGGAGCAAAGCCTGGGACAGAGGGCACAGGGAAGAGGCAGAGGACAAAGCAGGAGGGAACGTAGAGCCAATGCTGGGAAAACAGCTGGGGGAGATAGAGGCAAGGGAGAGCGGGGAAGGCTGCCTCCTTGCCACCGCCTGGGACCATCTCCAGCTCGCAGGCGGG